GGGATAAACTAGTTATTTAATGAATATCGGTGGACACGGTGTATTCCACAGAATAATAGTAAAACCACGTGGCCTCCAGCCACGTGATTTTACTATTATTCTGTGGAATACACCGTATCCACCGATATCCATTAAATAACAAGTATTAATTTCACGAGCTACAAAAAGACTTAGAAGACAAATTCCTTGAATAAATCCTAAGAAGGGAAGCAGAACATAACCCCCATAATCTAATTTCCTTATTCCACAAAGAATCAGGAACAACCCATCTAAATTATCTGATCAGAACATCCAGAGAAATAATTGGATATACCACAGAATATTTAAACTATAATCCAAATACAAGAGAATACACTTTTGTTAACAATGTGAAAGAAAGATTAAAGTGGATACGTGAAGGATTACAATCACACCTAATATCTATAATAATAACTTTATACTGGAAAGTAACAAACCAAAGTATCAGTAAAAACTATTGGGAAGTGAAGAATTATTAAAAATTTAAGGAATTTCATAAACAATTTTGGAACAGAAATTAATAACTAAACAAGAAATAGCAAAAAAAAAGTACAATTTTGATAAAACAGCCAAAAGGTGCTGCAAGTGCAGAACACCTAACGGAACTTATTTCATAAATAATAAAACTAGAACTATAAATAAAACCTGTGACAAGTGCAGAGAAGGAATATGACAATTTTGAAAAAACATCAGTAGAAATAATAACAGACGAAAAAGGAAAATTTTCATTCAAATACTTAATACGCTGCTCAATCTGTGCAAAATTGCAAGAACAGTCTGTATTTATTAAAAATTCTAAACAATTAAAAATCCGCTTTAACTGCAGAAATAATTTTAGAAGATACAAACCCGAGAAAAGAATTACCAAATCAGGAACTACAGAAAAACGTTGTCCAAAGTGTAGACACTACAAGAAATTAGAAGAATACTCAAAATATTCGAAAAAATACAACAAAGATATAGAGCTACGACATTGCAAAAACTGTAACCGCAGAGAAACTTTAAACGCACAAAGACAAACTGAAGAGGAATTTCAATTACAAAAGAAACTGAAATTACTAAAAGAAAAAGAACTATTAAAAGAAGAAATTTATAACTTAGAATTTGTAAAATTCACAATACAACAGTTAAATTAAGAAGATGGAGCAGTTACCACTATATAACAATCCACAATATAGAATGATATGAAAATGTACTAGTTGCAACGAATTCCAAGAAATAGAACAATATAAAGAAATTGAAAACAACCAAGAAATTTATTACGATAATTGCAATACATATCGAAAATTAGAATTTTTAGCACAATCTTTAATACACCATTTGGAATTACCAGAACGAAGAATTATACAAACTGCACCATTTAGGTATTACCCATGAAAAGGATATCAAATAGGATTATCTAAAAGAATTAATCCAAAGAAAGTATTTTGGAACCATTACCAAGGATACGGAGGAAAAGGAGAATTAGATGAAAACAGAAAACTATGTGAAACTGATGAGTATACCGCAATTAGAGAAGGTTTAGAAGAAGCCAACATTTTAATGGAAAAAGAATTACTTATCAAAGTATGAACCGAATTCAACCAAGCTTACAAGAATGGGTAGCAGAAAAATACTGCTCACCAACAGAAGCCAGATACAAGATACGAAAAACTGTATTTATTTATCCATGCAATATATTTCAAAAATTAAAACAATGCGAACCAGAAAAAGCGACACCATAGAAATGGTATATTTACGATGAAGTAAAAGAATTAACCCTTATACCAATGATAAAACAACCACTGGAATTAATATTTGACAGAATACATCAGTATTTTATTAAAATGCAAGAAGTACAACATGAAGAACAACTCAATGACGACTTTATAAACTACGAAGCTAAGTACCTTTACGAAGAAATAGAAAGCTTAGCAGATGAGGACGAAATTCAAGAAAAATTACCAATAATGACAGACCACGAATTTACTACTCATCACAAACAAGTAGAAACCACATCAAGAATTGAGATTCTACAAATAGAAAAATATAAGAAACACCTTGAATACGAAAAAGGCCAAATACAAAATAAAATTAATAGACTCCTAAACGGCCACTATAATTACAAATATTTAGCAGCATTCCGACCTCAAGACAGAATGCATGCATCCAAGATATTAAAGGAAAATCCGACACTCAAGAAAATATCGGATTCCGGACTTATGAAATTATTGAAAAATCAAGACTTTGTTTATTCACTCATGAAACTCAAAACAAAGAAGGAACAATACCAATTAAAGATTCGGCAAATTAAAGATAACGTACAATACGACCAAAATACCGAACAATTGACCAAATATTTATTGAACATCCAAACATACCATTAGTATGACCAACGTTACGGATTCATAGCAAAATTGCCTCATAAGGAAATTACCGGCAATGTTTGATCCGGACATGTAGATCGATGTGTAAGCCCTTTTATATGTCCATGGACATGGACTGTCCACGTCCACGTCTATTGCCCTTGGGCCATAATTATTCAAATACGTATATAATAAAAATACTTGATTTAATACGTGTATTATAATTATCATTTAGTAATGAACAAAATTCAGACTACCGTAAATGGCCATATAGACGACCCGGGTATGTTACATTCCACCAATTAAAAAACTTGAATTATACCCGGGGGGTATATTGTTCGGAGAGGGGGTATAGTAATAGGTGGATTTCTTCTTGCCAAATATAAATTACTAATAAAAAACACCGGGTCTCTTACATTCCACTAAATTTTTAACCCTGGTTTAGACCCGGGTATATTAGAGGGGGGTCTACTATCAAGGGGGGTCTTTTATATGGCCATTTACGGTAGTCAAAATACTGATCTGGTTAATAGACTTTATTTGAGGAAAAAAAAAAAAAAAGAAAAAAAAAAATGCTTCAAAGAATGTACACATATACATGATAATTTAGAATAATATGTAGACAAGTACAAAAGATTCACAAAAACATGCGCTAAATATAATCACCAAAGCCAGTGTTATCCCAGATTATCTAATATCTAATATAGGTTACGAAATAATTTAAAGAGAATATAAATATACATCGGAAATTGATCATAAAAATATCAATCAACACAAAAAATTGATCTATTATCAATCGTCTTGATTTCTTAGAAAATTTTCATAATCTTCTCGCACACACTCTCCTCCCTTGCGGGGATCGAATGTATATTTATAAAAACTTCCGTCTGCACAAATTACTGAAAAAAAAAAAAAAAAATTTACATCAGAAACTTTATATTAAATAATAAAATTAGAAACCTTATTTACCAATTACAGAATTCCTTTCTTGTCCAAATCCACAAATGCACCGACAGTCTGCCATTACTTTAAAGTGAGCAAACGACCATTCGGAAGAGAAATATTTTGGAAGCAAGTCTCTCATGAAAGATAAGCTTTAAAGATAATAAATAAGTTTTTATCCCAAAGTAATTATACAATTAATAAGATGGAATAATTACCTAGATTGTCTGTTACCGCTCGGTGATGGGATCGTGTTGCTGTAATAAAACAAGGCAAGTGCAAAATTAAAGCTGAATATTGGAAAAATGCTAAATGAACAAAATATATTTACTTTACAACGACCTCTCCATAATAGGCAGCTCCGTTGTTCGGAGAATGGCTAGCGCCGTTTCCAAGAATGGCGTCCAGATTAAAGATGTGTACTGTTCCTTTGTCAGAAGAAACGCATAATCGCGTCGAATCATGATTAAATGCGATGCTATTATTATATAATGTAGGTAAATATCAGATAGTTACAATAGATAATTTAATTTATATTTAGTGCACACCTATAAATTTCAGCACGATCTACACCGCGTCGTAATTCGTTCAATAATTTTCCAGTAGCAGTATCAAAAACTCTTATTAGCGTACCCTAAATATTAGGAACACGGGCGAAGATTTAGTAACGTGCAAATGATGCAGATAAATAAAGAAATTAACATAAAAAAGTTGAGTAGACCTTTTCACTTGCACTCGCACATTTACTTCCATCGGCATTTATTGATAGACAACCCAATTTTCCAGAATGTGCAGGAATAATACTGATGTTCGTGGTCATCACGGTTGTACTTCCGCTATTAGATACACTCTGTCTTCTGTCATGGACTGACGGAGGCTGTAGGTCATTATTACTACCAAACGATTGAGAACGTCTATGATGTGGAAAGGATGAAAAAGACGATGAGTTTGTGGGATAGTCTCTAGTCACAGCCGTGGTAGTGTGGAAGGTATTGAGATCAACGATCTGAATGTGGCCTTTTTGTCGACCTGGAAACGCCAAAATGGCGTGGTTTTCTGACGACGATAGAGCAACCAAACCTATCGCATATTGGTAAAAAGATGACACATGGCGATCTTTTTAACAAAAATATATTGCATTGTATGTGATGAAATTTAATATCACCTTTATCATTATCTATTGTTTCAAAAGTGTGGAGCTTCTGTGGTTGCGCGCTGAACATATAGACAAATACTTTATTAGAAAGAACAACGACGATCCTAAAAAAAAAAAAAAAAAAATTTTAACATTTATCAGCTAAATATGAATTAAACAATAAAGTTTGATTTTTTTTTGTTCAATATTTGCAAGAAATTAATGGGTTGTAAGATTTAATGCTAACCTATCCCTCCTCAATTTTACATTCCTAACTTCACTTCGAAATTCCAGCCCTGCTATTTCCTTACTTTTAGAATCATCCCATAGGATAACTTTATTTGGTGGATACTTTGGATTTTTTCCACCACCTACGAGAGCGAGATAATTACAGCGAAATAACATTTCAACGATCGATACCCCACCGTCGTCAGAGTCTAAGACCAACAATTATGAGAGCATTAAATAAGTACGTCTTTGATAAGATCTCGTAATTCTGATATAACACACTTGGTTACAAGTATTATTTAGAAATCCCGTGATGAGTTGACTTTTACCTTTACGCATTTTTTCTTTCAGGGGATCACAATTGTATATTCTGAACCCACTATCTAAACCAGCAGCAAAACAACCAAAGTCTTGATTGAAACCAGCATAAAGCAAGCCTGGAGCGTCAGCGGAAGAAGAAGAAGAAGAAGTAGAAGGCCTTGTCAAATTCATTTTTATTTATGGGTGTTATGATTGAATAGAGATCAAGTATAAAAAGCACAGTTTCACGCGGAGTTTAAGTTATAATGACCAAATTTTGCAATTTTTATATAAATTCGTTGGTTGTGCAAAGAGACTGCGAGTACAGCAGATAAGCTTCCGATTGGTTCATTTATTGATTAACTGCATTGCCAGAGAAATTTATCGCTGTCTTTATGAATAATTGATGTATTTTTTTTAGCTCTCAGTACTTGCCTGGTCTTTATATTATTATTATTTTTGAAGTCAGCATGCTTTGTATGTATGTACTGATGTATTTTGTTAGTTATTTGTTATTTTGTTACAAAAGTCCGGTACTCTATTCTATCATAACTTGTTACTAGTCACATGATTTTAAGTTACGATCTTATTTATTAGATTATCGTCATTGCTTATTAATTTTCTATTTCTTCCAATAATTTTGTTTGTCACAGATCGAGCATCGGTGAAAAAATTTTGGTCGAATATTCGAATGCCTATTTTTTTCACATTGATGTATGGGAATTACTGGAACTGGAAATTCCAGTAACTTCCAGTGGCTTCTGATTGGCCAATTCGAATCAATCACCGGGGATAGTGAGCAGAGATTAAAACGGTATAAAATTTAAGCTCCAGATACCTACCAATTTACACAAACATTGCCGGATCACAAACAGGGTCATTTCTGATAACCAGAGTAACTTGGGTAATCCGACATAGCTCGTGCGATAATGTTAAAGACTTTGTTAACGAGTTAAAGAATTATTGTGAAATCGGAATTCTTTTTTTTTACAATGTTTCTGGTATATAAAAAAATATTAATTATATTTTCGTAATGAGATACACTTACAAAGAAAGAATCATTATGTTAGAGTATTGAAGCAATAGCAAAAGATGAGTTGGAAAATATATTGCATTGAATAGCTTTGGAAGCTCGAAATTTGATTGGCCAATAATCACATTTAGATTAGCCAATTAGGTGAATAGGTCCAGTGAGAAAATCGGTCCAGTGGGATTTCTCACTGGAACATTGGAAGAATCTGGACGTCTGGTTCCAGTCTTCCAGTAACCCAGATGTCAATTGTCCCAAAATGTCAATTGACCAAAATTACAGTATCAGCCTAAACAAATTAATTTAGGCAGGGTGTTTAGCTAAATTTTAGTAAATTGACAAATTTAGAATATTAATATTGAATACTATATCTAGTGCTCAGCAAAATCGAACAAAAACTCGATTATCAAGTTTTTGAATCTACCAATTTACAATATTGTGCATTAAATACAATTTTTTAGTATATATATAAATCTAACAGGAATCCGATCTTACATTAAACTTCGTGGTAACTAACATAAAGTTTAAAGTCAGATTAGAGTAAACATAGCGATAGATTTTATAATTGAAGCACAATACTATAAATCGATAGATTCAAAACTCGATAAATCGAGTTTTTGTTTGATTTCGTGTGTGGAATCCAATTAAATTTTTTGAAATAAAGCGGATCCGCACACGTGCATACATATGAAAAATATACGTATTTATAGTTGTCGTCCAAATACGTAGTTAAATTAGAGATGTTAAATTCCAATTCATGTAATTTTGGGACAATTCAAGTCTCAAACTTGTTCCAAATTTTCAAAATATACATATATATACGCGTAGTTAATTCGTGATTCGTCTAGGAACTAGTGACAAAACATAGTAAACTGCGGATATGTGTTCACTATGTAAATTTGCCTTTTTTATGTCCCATAAGTATACATTATCTGGCAATTTACATCGTAACACATGAAAAAATGACAGAAAGAAATTTTTTCATGATCATATGAGTTTGCCGGTTAACCTGATTTTCATGACAAAGACCCCATATACAGTATATCATTATGGCTATGAGAACCAAAAAATTAACTTTATATGGTCTTTAATATGTATCACATATAAAACTAATAAAAGGATTGTGTTTGCTTTTTTTTTTTGAGCTTATTTTTTGAGCTTATTTTTTGATATTACGTAGTTATTTTCAAACACGTAAAAATTAAAAATAAAATACTGTATCATGTAACTAATAAGTTGTATAAATTGCACAATGGTACGTATGAATTTTAAAAATATAGAAGGGCTTTTCATAAAATGCTACGTATATAATGTCTTTTAAACAAGTAGTTATATTACATCATTATATATTAATATTTTTTATTTAATTAATAGTACAAATAAATTTTGATTAATGGCCAGCAAATTTATAAATGGATTCTACCAACTCTGATATCAAGATATCCTCCTCCTATCTCCTCCAAACATTCTTTTAATAAAACCGAATGGATTAAGAAAGCTTTGATTTAAAAATATAACTAATTAGCATAACCGAAAAATTAAATAACGTAAAAATGTCTTGCCATTTACTGTATCTTACCTATAATTATCATCATCTGATCTCTCTTTTCTTTTTCCTAAATTACTTTCACTTACAGAAACAGCTTTTAAGCTTGTCGATCCTTCTGCACTATCACTACTACTAAATTCATTGCTAACTTCACGTTTATTATTAGTACTTGAGGAATGAGAATTTGATATCACTTCCGTAGCTGTTGTTGTTATTTCGGAAACTGATAATATTCCGTTACTTGACTCTACATTACTATCGCTTTGAACGGGATAATCCTCTGTATGTGCATTAGTTTCTCTAACTGACTGATTGATTATATAAAATAGATTTTTTTTCATGTAAGCAATTTTGAAAAAGTCAATGTAATTATTGTATTATTATTATTTCTAAAAAAAACCTGATCAACTGAATCTTTATTTATTTTTGCCAATTGGATAGAACTTGCAGCAGTGCTTTTTGATATCTCTGATATCTCACGAACCGTTAACTGTGTTCTTGATCGGTTTGGTGTTGCCTCAACACCAACAACATCTCCTTCTGATAAAAAACTAGTGTTGATTGCATCCGAGTTATCTGAATTAGAAAATACATCTGTAATTTGTGGTAAATTTGACTCATGACCATCCTTTTGTTGTTGCTGTTGGACACTTTTATTTTTTCCAATATGAGAACTGTTATGCCAAAAAAATTAGACATAATACACAAATATTTCTTTTTTTTTTAAACCAAAAATACCTAGTAGATTCTTCATGATCTGTTTTCAGAGGTTCTAATTCGAAAGTATATTTATATCGATGTACCTTAAGTCTACTTTTATTTTTAAAGAAAATATATTTGCGTCCATATTGCCAACTGTGTTTCTCTGATTTTAAAAAATTTATTTATATTAGTTGCCAATCTAACCAAACGAGAGATTTCAAATCGTGAAAGGTAGTATATTTAACTGCATAACAAACTATATCCATTGCCATCCACTATTAGATTTTCTTCTTTCAATTTTACAAATGCTACGACCACTTTCTAGGAAGCAATAAAGAAAAATTAAAATTTTTGATCCCTGTTATAACAAACTAGCTATGATAATTACTTTTATTTCGTCTTGCATTAATTGATTATGGTTATAAAGCGATTCGCTAGAGCTATTATTTTAGGGTCAAAAGGTTTAAAGAAATAAAAAATAAAAGGCAAGCTTGTATCCATATTTCGTCAACTGTGTTTCCAACAAATCGCGTAACATATATATTTTAATAGAACCTGTTTTTAGACGACAATGTTATCTGAACTACTTGATCTGAAATTACAACAAGTCGAGTTTTGTTAAGAACAAACGGTAATATCTCCATTTTTATTTATTATCAAAATTATTTTTCAAAATTATTTGTAAAGTGTGAGAAACAATAAAATGGGTCTCGTGAAAGGAAATACTGTATCAACTTTATCACATGGTTTTAATGTATATCTTCCCCAGCATCGCCACCAATTTTTTTTCGATCACGTGATCGTACAAAAATCGTTAAGTTCGTTTAGATTAGGGTTAGGGTCTGTGCTAAGGTTAGGGTTTATGTGTTTTTAATAGCAAAATCGCTCAAGAAAAACTTTTTGTTAATGCACAGAAGGTGATTTCTTATGTAAATTTTTGAGTTAGAGGAGAATTTTTGAAAACGAACGTTTGTTTCGGATCTTCCTGATTGTGTTACGTTACACCAAGGCGTGATTTATTATTGGATAGTTTCACGTGATCGAAAAAATTTTATTAGTATTTTGGTGGCGATCCAGGGGAAGTTTTTAATGTATACTATTATCACGTGATATGATCGCTTGCCATTTTATTCTTTTTTTTTTGTTTTTTTTTTTTTTGAAATTACTTATCATTAAAATATATCTCGGGAACTATAATTATACTGAATAAAATACATCAGTTTAAATATTTTAAATTCCCAAAAATTATATATCTCCAAAACTACAAAAATATTCATCATTAGAAAGTCCTCAATTAAAGGACAGTCCAAGTAAATCGTCTATCAAGGTACCTAATATGTGCACAAAATAAGTATGGGTGAAAACATTTCAAGACGTAAAAAAAAAAAAAGGAACAAGAGATCTAGAAAAAAAATAAAAAATACCTGTCTTTGGTGGGTCTTTATTATTATTATTAGAGGGTCCACCAATTGTATCGAACAGATCACCGGGAATTTGGATTTGACCTTGTTGAGGCTCAGAATCTCCTAAATCAATCAGCCACGACTCTGGCTGGCTCCCACTATTTCGAAACATAAGAACATACACGTTAAAATTTTAAAATAATTTAATGAATATATAACATGCTTGAAAAGTTGAATTACGTTGTAGACGGCGGTGGAGGCGGAGGCAATGCGTCGTTTGGATCATTATTGAATACTCCGTTTAGAACATTTTGATATTTTTTTAAAACTGTATTGAGTATATCATTCAAATTCAATAAACGATCTGTATTAAAAGCAAGAAGAAAATACGTAAGTAGTCTAAAATTTAAAAAACAAAAAAAAAAAAAAAAAAAAAAGTAAATGCATACCAATGCTTTCAGAATCTTCTTCTTCTGAAATAAATTTTTGAATTTTGGGTTGTACTGCTTTACAAGCTTGTGACAATTCCTATTTTTGTAAATTATAAATACTACCTCAAAATGTCAAAAATATCAATATTAAATGAAATAATAAATAATTGTTGCTACCTCAAATATATCCCCTTCACCAATAACTTCGCCTGGTTTGACATTATTAAGCATATCATTCAAAAGTATAGCCTTTCGTTGAATTCGTTCTAATTCTTCACCAGCTTGCTTTTTGTAATCAGGTTTTACATCTGGATCCTAAAAAAAATTGAAATTATTAACACTTAACGATGTACAATACAATGATAAGAAATATCAGACGTACATAGCCAGCCATGACTTTCATTAATTCATTTGCCTCTTCCAAATCTGCAGGGGTGCCTCTACGAATTAATTCCTGCAATTTCTTTTGTTTCATAAATTATAAGATAGACCGTCCTTTTTAAAGTTAATATTTTTGTCTCGAAAAATATTTAAGTATATGAAATTGCAAACAAAAAGCGTTAAAAATACTTCAAATTTACCGCTGCTTGCGCAGCACGATCTTCTTCCTCCAATTCATCTGGCGATTTTAAAGTCTATTATTAATTTAAGAATATAATTATTGATGATTTAGCAGAGTATAATATATGCTTTAGGTAATCCACGTTATTGAAAATATATCAAGAAATCATACATCAGTCGGGTTAAGGACTGCTGCAGACTGATCATCCAATTCAGGAAACACGTAACCTAAGTTTCAATGAAAAGAAAAAGTAAAAATAAAATAAAATAAAATAAAATAGAAAACAATGCATATTTTTTTCATTATATTTTATAATTAACCTTTATGAAGAAGCAGCTTATACATATAATTGATATAATGTAAGTCGTCTTTGTGACGTGAATTAACACAGATGGTCGACTTCCATTCTTGAATATACTCTAAAATTCTCAGTTGTATAGGATTAGGAACCACCTATTCGATTAAAAACGAAGATGTGAGTAATTCAATATAATTTTTTTTTTTTTTTTTGTGAAGAATAAAGAAATTATTATAATACCGGAGGTTTTTCTGGAAATTTTCGAACAAGTTCATTTAAAAATTCTTTTGTAGCAATTTGCAAATGAAATGGATATCCACAATTCTTAACACAAATATCCAAGAGCTTTAAAAAAAAAAGGAAAAAAAAAAACAATAATGACTGGTTTGTTACAGTCTTGAATCTGAATGATACAACAGGTTAACGATAATATATACCGTCAAAGCTAGCATGGAAACATTAGGATTTCGATGATTTATAAGGCGTACAATGTGAACAGCTGCATCGCGTGGACTTTTTGAAAGATAAATTTTATAAGCATGAATAATAAAAGTGAAAGTTAATGATGGCACATTAAAACATACTAATTCTGCTTTTTTTGATTAATCAAATCCGCGATCTCCAAGTCTAAAGCCAAATCCGGCTCAACCATTTGAGGGTTACATGCTCTTTCTGCAAATTTTACGTTTAAATAAAAAAAAACCCCACACAAATTTGAAAATTTTATTTCTTTAAATGAATTATTGTATGCAATAATATAGACAAATTAAAAAATAAAATTACCTATAATTGACTGTATTGTAGGTTTAGGCAAAGACGAAGGTATCTATTAAAAGTTTAGAGAATAGTTTAGAAAGAGAATAAAGCGACAACTTCAATTGGAGTATACTACTTACTTGAAGAGTTCCAAAGCTCATGGTGGAAAATTTATCGAAATACTAAAATTGATTTGATTTTATTACTTATTAGTAGTTTCTCGGTATCACGTGCAGTTTTTATAACCAGGGATGGAAAGTTCCGTAAATTACACCCTTTAATCTGTAATAACGTGTCACATTTACTAGAACAAGATTGGGATAACAATATAAGTTATATACAAATGTATAGTTCTAAAGCTAGCCTGAATTATGACATTACACTGTAATAAGATTACTAAAAAAAAATTTTTAACTATATTTTACTAACGGTTTTTCTATAAAGCCGGATTGCCGGTTTATTTTTAAAATTTTAACTTATGAGAACCAAAAATTATTTGTATAGGGCCTAATACAGTATAATATACAACACTGCAATACTAGGGTAGGGCTAGCGATAGCATAACCTGCTAGGATGAATCAAAAAATTGTGACAATAATAAAATCACTAATTAATTTTTTGTTTTAAACTAAAATTGGGACTTTTTCTTCAAAAAAGCGAGTATACACATGAAAATATCCTCTTTCAATTCCTTGTAACATGCTCCTTAACTTAACTGTGCCATTTTTTTTTTCTAAATACAGTCGCACCCCTTAAGTGCAAGTACTATGTAAAACCTCTCTAAATGCACGATTCAGTTTGGCCTCAAATTATAAGAATCTTATATATTTTACTTTCTATAAATAGATTATTGGGCATGGACGGTCCATAAACAATGTCCATATCCTTGTCTAGGGAATTGACTCGACAAAAAAAAATCGTGATAAAAAAAAATTTTTTTGAATCGATCAAAATTCAACGTTTAATCTCGATCATTTATTTGCTCGAGCAGACCAATCATTGGGTCAACCATTGATCTACTATCCAGTATTTTATAATGATCCTGAATGATCCTGTAAAATAAAAATTTTTTCTTGATCAAATTTTAAACATTTAATCGTTTAACATAATCGATCATCGTCAAGTCTAATCGATCAATGATCGAGGCAATACACCATGTCCATCGACAACACTGACGAAAATTAAAAAAAACAAAATAAAATGAATTTAAAGAAATTTATATTTAAAAATCCATTTATTAATTTAAAAAATTTTTTAATCGTTATTTACAAATCTCTATAGTCTTTCATATATTTGGTTTAATATCTAATGTAAGACCCAAGATCTCATATAACATCTTATTATGCGATTGAGAAAACCTTCAAGGCATTGATTTACACATTATCTCAATTGTATATATATATAAGTTTCTTATTATCTAAAATTTTTTGCAATGTATACTTATAATCGTTGCTTTCAACTTTTTTAGCGTCATAAAGTTCACGGTTCAATTGAATCGGTCGTGTAACGATCTACAAATTCGGTGACTATCACGTAGTGATGCGAACGGCTCGGCTCGGCTCGGCTCACGGCTAACATTTACTACGCCGAGCCGATCCTTCGGCTAAGCAACCAGAGCCAAGCCACTTATAAGCCGATTAACCTCAAGCCGAGCCGAGCCGTCTAATGGTAATATGGTTTCACAAAAATCTTGCTTTTCTATCTTTTCTATGCAAGAATTTTTTTTTTTTACAAATTTCTTGTTAAACTTATTATTTAATACTGTAAATGAATTACTTATAAGCGATCTTATAAAGCGTGAAATAGAGGATTTATTAAATAACTTAAGCTCAAACAAAAAGTAAGGGCTTTTTGATAGAGT